TATATATATATATATATATATATATATATATAGAATTAGCTGAAGTAGAAAGATCTACTCTCAGAGATGGAACAGAAAAAATTTCGAGCTAACAACTTGCAGAATTGCATTTGATACACATGTTATGGAGAGGTGAACGTTTCAGAATATTTGTACGTGGTGTTGGCAGATGAAAGGGATTAACCACTTCCGAGGTTAGTCTAGGTACATTGAAATTAAGTTTTTGCAGAATATGTGGGTCGAAAATTAAAATATTAATCAGTTTAAAAGGAAACATTTTGGAGTGACAATCACGACGGCAACTCAAGCTATTCATAGCACGTCTCCAATTGGAAGATAGATATTGTCTTATCTATTGGAGAGAAGTTTTAGGAAACGCCGTTGTATCGATTCAACTTTCTCTGGATACAACTGATGAGATGCATATTCTAATTTTGATCTGACGAAAGCATAGTATAAGGTTTTCGATGTAGATGGATCCAAATCTCTGGAGATTCGTGCAATAAATCCATACATTTTGTTTGCAGCAGACAGAATGGCTTCAATACGTGGTACGAAGGAAAGTTTTGTGTCGAAGGTAACACCTAGATCTGTGGATGTGAGAGGCCGTAATAAGTATTGAAGCATTGCTGTTCATTGCTTCACAAAGAAATGAAAAAAAAATAATAAGACATGTAGACAATGGGAAAAAACAAATAATAGAATTGTTAACAGAGAGAATACCATGAAAAAAACAATTAGTCCCAGAAAAGTTTTTTGAGTTTTCTTACGGATTAATTTCTCACTAGAAACTTTTCGATTTTTTCAAGGTAACCTGCCAGTTATTTTTATTACGTCCGGTAGATATTTAAATCAAGCTATAGTATATTCAGATCATGAAAACTAATTCTCTGGTATAAAATCGAAATCGAAGTTATGTACAATTCATATTTAGAAAAAAGAAGTTGATACAAACTGGACAAGGATTCCTAAAAATTATATCTAGTTATCATATGGGTTCCATTACAACTATAGTGTTTGCACTCTCGACCAAACTACTTGTCGGTCAATTGACAATCAATGCGGCATCTCCGTTGAAAATATACTGAAACAAGCAAAAATGCCGAAAATCTCAGCAAACGGATTCTTTGTGTGGAACAGTTCATCTCTTTTGGAATTTGTTGTAGTTTAATCTTGTCACTTTCATATATTTCTTAGTTATTTACTATGCCTGACTTCTCAACAAACTCATAATGGTTGCGGGAGAGTAAAATTGCTATATCATTTTTTTTTACCGAAGTATGCGCTAGTCAGGCCCTATCCCCCGATGCCCTGATACATTCGGGAGGGCGCGCCAGCATTATTAACCAAAGACCACTCCCAACACCGTGGGGCGAGTGATCATTAGGTCCGAGAATCATGTGCCCTGAGCAAGCGCAGTGATCCAAGAATGACAGCCTTCTACATCTGTCCGGCTAAGATTTCTGCCTTAGTGCGGCATGCCGTTATGATTTTAAGATTCTAGAGTAGAGAGGGCATTATTCCACCAAGGACTCTAATAATCAGAACAACTATCTTGACAGAGTGGTCTGGATAGAGTTATTAATCACTCCTAAAAATATAACCCCTTCAATTCAAACTGTATTATGTTCACCGATCATCTAATACGATCAATTAGCATTTTGGAAGTAATTATAAAATACTAATAAAATAAAACTGTTGCAACACCATGGAATTATAAAACAACTTTGCTGGTTGGGAATTATTAACTTATTTAGAATAAGCATTTTCATTAATGTATGACATCTGCGAACCTGCAAATAGTAGTCCTGAAAAGCATTTGTTCTGTGGAAAAGTTAAATTTGCATTCCATCAACGAAAACACTTTTTTTGAATATTCATTGATCTTACACATTTCAACATCAATAAAAAAATCCCCTCATTTTCCATACTGTTATTTCCTTGCAACCTATACTAGAGAAATCTCCATTTACTGACTATGTCACAAAGGAAGATTTCAACATTTTCCTTCAAACACGGAGACAGCTTGGAGATCTATCTACTTCACAGCAAAAAGGTCGAAAGAAACAACATACCCTTGTCCAATAAAAGTTCGGCAAAGTCACTCACTTCAAAGCATCATGCTTTCAGAATATTTTTTGGGAACCCAAAAATAAAATGTGTGCAAGAGTCCAGATGTTGTATTCCGTCCGGATCCAATCAAAGAAATCTTTCTTGGCCTCAGTTTTCATTTCTAAAAAGATCTTTGAACTCTCAGCTGCACACTTTCCTGTCCAATACAATAACGCCATCGCAACATGGAAAATCAAGAGCTATTGCGCTTGATATTTCTAAGGCCTTTGACCGTTTATGGCATGAGGGTTTGCTGGCTAAACTTCGATGCTATGGCTCGTCGGATCATTTTTTTGCATAGCTTTTCAGCTTCCTCAAAGAACGTATCCTAAAAGTAGCCATTGATGGCCACTTTCAGGGTACCATCAACGCAGGTGTTTCCCAGGGATCCATATTGTCTCCAACTCTCTTTTTATTGTATATCAACGACTTATTGGAAAAAACCAAGAATCCAATATATTGCTTTGCTGACGACAGCACAATTGTCTCGTCATTCCACTTGGATTCCAGGAAATCGGCAGAGGAATGTTGCATATCTTAATGAGGATCTAGAAGTGATTTCGAATTGGGGTGAAAGTAATCAGGTTTAATTCGATGCCACACACCCCAGGCATCGATTTTCTCCAAGAAGATAAATGTCTCCGAACTGGATATAATAGACAATTCAGCTTTCTACTTCGATAAGTTTGTGGGATTTAAATGGACATCAATATGTCTTGGCACAATCATGTCGCTGGAATCGCAAAGGCTGCTTCTCAAAAGCTTGGAACACTGTTCTGATCCAGAAAACTGTACACACCTCAGCCACTTTTGATGGTTTATCAAGCTCAGATAAGATCTTCTTTGGAATATTGTTCTCATGTATGGAACCCCGCTCCTAAGCTTTTCTGAAGATTCTGGATTCCATTCAGAAAAAAGCCAATCGCGTAATTGGATACACGAACGTCACTTGCAACCTTAATAGTCTGGAATGTCGAAGAAGAGCGGTACATTTCAGAAATACGCGACGGACTGTGGCTCCTCATCGTTTTAAGGCTCAACTCAGTATTCCCCGAACTTCACTGTTCAAGAACGTTTTTCTAAATTAATTTAATCTCCAGCGATTCAAATCGAATATTCGCTTGCGAAAAAATCTCCACATTGCAATGGGAGCACATGTTACACGAGTTCTGATAGATCCCAAATCCAAAATAGCCTACGGCATTGAGTTTATGAGGGACAACAAATTAATCAGGTTCGTTGATTTGACTTGAAAATAAAGTAGAGCTTTTCTCTACATATTTAACTAGCACTTTTTTCTGTTATCATCCACACAACATGAATTTTACAGTGTGCATTGGCAGAAAAAATGAATGGTTTCTAATATCAAGCACAAAGACTAATGAACGTCTTAGAGTTGCTGTTTAGACCCTTCAAACTTTTGCAAACTTAAACGGGACCTAACACAATCAACGTTAAAGAACATTAACAAAATCATTCTCAGAACTGAATCCGTTCCATCTAGGCTCTGCGGTCTTTCGAAGGTACATGAAACCAACATGTCACTGAGACAAATAGTCTGTGCCCCAGGCTCGGCGACCTACCACCTGACGAAACATCTGGACTCGCTCCTCCAGCCTTATGTGGAAAAAAAACTGCTACGTCAATGATTCGACAGACTTCGTTGGTGAAATTAGGGACCTAATTATGGAGCCTACAGATATTCTGGTCACCTTCGATGTTGTGTCTTTGTTTACCAATGCCCCACTGGAAGGCTCTTTGAGGGGGCTATCCTACTTGTTTTCAAGTGATATCGTCGGACCCTTCAGAGAATGTCTCACGGGAAGTTTCTATCAATAAAAGGGTAACTATGAGCAACTAGATGGCGTAGCGATGAGAAGTCTACTTAGCCCAGTGATAGCCAACTATTTCAATAAACGAAGAGAAAGCAAACAAGACCTTTGAATTGAAACCAACCTTGTGACTATGTTACGTGGATAACACCTTCGTCATCTGGAAACAAATCTTTTTTTTACACCATTTTTGAACGCTCAACACACCAGCATCAAGTTCATCATGGCGACTGAACAGGACCAACGGATAGCATTCCTAATGTACTCATCGAACGATGGGTGCTAGACTGACCCACAAAGTGTACCGAAACCCATGCACACGGATAGATACCTGCACGCACCATTAAACCATCATCCTAGTCAAAAGAGAGAAGTCATCTCTACTCTAACTGAACGGGCTCGAAGAATGTGTGAACAAGAGGGTCTCGAGGAAGAACTGGAACGTCTTCAAGTGACCTTGAGATTGAATGGAAACAGTGTACTCGAAACTGAAGATCTACGCGGTTCAAACAGGGAGGAAGCTCAGACGGTTGCACGTGCGTATCTACCATATCACAGACAAGATCAAACCCACCAAGGAGCTACAACAAAGTCTCAGGTCGGCTAAAGACAAGAGAGAGTCACTATCAGCAACAGGGAGATATCACATACCGCGCACTTGTGGGATGGTATACATTGAAACCACCAGAAAGAGCCATGGGTAGGTACAAGGCTAAAAGAGCATGAAAAAATCTGCCCTCTAGGCCAAACGGACAATTCGGCTATGGCGGAAACCATACTTAGTGAAGAAAAACACAGGATTCTGTTTGAAAATACGAAACTCTTTCCCCCAATCAGGGATACTATAGCCAACTGGTACGGGAGGTAGTAGAGATCCACAAGCATACTCTAATTTCAACAGAAAAGAAGAAGCTGTGAAACTCAACTGAATATGGAATCCGAATCTGAGAAGTTCAAGAATAGCAAAGAGCATGACGCCAGGTAGAAAAGGGTCAGTCAACCAGAGTACACCAAATTGTCATGTGGTGGCCTGTCACCCAGCGGTGCTGACAAAATATCCAGTCATCGGAGATAACTCAGGATGAATAAACTTCTGAAGAAGCTAGCCACTCGCGCCAGCGAAACGTCAGGAAGAAATTCCAAAAATCGACAGTCTGCAACCTATTAAAAACACTATTTCTCAGAATTGCACAGATTTTTGCTTTTACAAAATAAGGAATTATCATGAGAATATCAACAACGTCATTTACATTCTGAAACACACGGAGTAAAAGTAAAATAAGTGGCCATGTTAGAGCAAACTTTTATTATAAAACTATTCATCCAGTAGTAAGTCTAAGCGTTGAAGTGATTTTATTTCCATTTCAGAATTCGCGCGAACAAAGAAGTCATCCTTTCGGCAGGTTCGGTCAACTCCCCGCAACTGCTGATGCTTTCGGGTGTTGGTCCCAAAGAAGAATTGAATAAACACAAGATACCAGTCATCCAGGATCTGAAAGTGGGCCACAATTTACAAGATCACATAGGCCTAGGTGGTTTGACCTTTTTGATAAATAGGCAAGATTCCATAACATTGGACAGAGTATATTCAGTAGGTGAGAAATTGATGGTGAACCATAAAATTTAACAATGGACGATGTACGGTTTGTATTAGATTGTTTCAAAAGTTTTGTCTATTTAAATGTCATGTGTTTTTGTAGCTGCATATCTCATTGAATATTTATTCTACTGTGTCGTGGTTTATACTGATAGATAGAGAATTTGGAATTTTTCGAATTAATGCTATTATATTTTTTTCTGAATATGTTCCTGCCTCTTTTCAGCTAATCTAATATATAAAATTCTCGTGTCACAGTTTTAGTTGCCATACTCCTCGGAAACGGCTTAACCCATTTTTATGAAATTTTATGTGTATATTCGGTAGGTCTGATCTGTTTGTCATACCCCTAAGTGATAAGGATGCCGCACTCCAAATATGATGTGGCATCTGAAAGTACATATAACCCTCAATTTCAACCCTTTTATCATCAACCCCTATTTTTATCAGCCACCGGTCTCACTCCTCACTCAGTTAACATCACGGAGTAGGGATGACAACTTTGCCGGTCTCCTGTCTTTCTCATACAATGAGCCTTTTCTCACTCCCTACACAGTTTTCGGCCACTATTATTGTTTATCCATCAATAGTAGATACAGTTTGCGATACCACCGAAGCTGTGAATTATCCAACAGAGTTTTTGAACCCACTGGGTTTGCCAGGCATGCCACCGCATAATTTACAACTGTAGGTTGGATCGTTCCGTAATTTGAATCCACCCGGCTGTGCAACAGCACGCGATTAGTCATTAAAGAAATTACTGAGAAATGTTGCCAACCCAGCATTTTGAATGGCAAGTTCCGAGGTGGAAAATATATTAATAACATGAATCCCTATTATACCTACAGATGTGCCAATTCATTTTAAACGAGTGCAATTTCCAATAAGATTGGCATTTGTAATGACTATCAATGAGTCCAAAGGCTAAACAATGTCCAGTTTGTTTGTGTTAGCTAACGAAAAACATTGTACACACTGAAGCATTAAGAGATAAATATTATTTGTTCAAGAGCAAAAACGTATTCTAGAACTTCAACTAGCGATTCCTAATATGACTAGTAATCAATCCGTGCAAAGCTCATTATTGAATCACCTGAAAATGGAACTGATAACAGGTGATGATCGACTATATTGCCAAACATGCGCCAAAATAACTGACTGTTACCAGAAAACAAATATAGCTGAGGCACCAGTCAATCTAGTAATAACACTGATGATCTTCAAACATGACTCATCCTCTGACGGAAGCACCAAACTTTTACGAAGGTTCGAATTAGATAAACACTTCAATCTAGCAGACCACTATTATAATCTTCATACAGTCATTGTTCACTGTGTTTCTGGCGTTGAATCTGGTCATTATTACGCCTTGGTCAAGGACGAAACGGACTGGTTTAAGTTAGACGATAGTCGTGTCACTAAGTGTTCTGGCGATGTATTGAAATTAATGGAGCCTCTAGAGACACCCTATATTTTGTTTTATGAGAGAGATAACATTGGCAGATCAAGATCTTTAGATGATGTGGTGCTGCAGGTTTTTCCAGATTTTCTTGCAACTGAAAAAGCAAATGCGCCACTGGAATTAATGAAGTCGCCCCGGAGCGCCAATTAATTTTTGTTGTTGTTTTATAAATTCATGATTTGTTTTGATATGAATGATTTATGTGGCGAAACAACGTTTGCCGGGTCAGCTAGTTGGTTTGCAAAATTTCGTTCCGGATATTTCAACTTCGTAGATGAGTCCCGAAGGACGAGAATTTGAGAACCATGGTGGAGACTGACTCATCACAAACGGTGCGTGGGATGACGGAAAAACAGGGCGTCGGCTCCCATGCGATTTTTGGTGGATCATAATGTATAGGGGAGGTCAAGAAGCTCGAAAAGTGGGCGCCCCACGATCTGAAGGATCGACAGAACTTGTCACGTTTTGAGGTATATTCTTCTTTGATTTGCGCAACCTGCTCCACGATCCTGGAGGTCCGATCCTGTTCCACACAACACTCGCCCGCACGTTCCACAAATCACAAATTAAATGAATTGAGCCACATCCATCATACTCCTCAGACCTCTCACCAACCAACTACCATCTTTTCAAGCACATAGATAACTTTCTCACCAGTAGGACCTTCTCCAATCAGGACCAGGCAAAAACGACCTTCGTCGACTTTATCGAATCCCGAGCACCTAATTTGTAAGTTGGCGGAATTAATCGACTTACGTTACGTTGGCAAAAATGCACCAATTCAAATCGCGCTTATTTGGATTAAATTGAATGAGTATTTACTGCGACACTACCTACTCCAATACTACCTACTGTAGACGAACCGAATCTTGTAAGAGATATTAATTTGAATATTTTGAATAACACTCGCAAATTTATAGATTTTTTGGAAGCTTACGGTTTCACACGAGTAAATGATAAACCCACTAGAGTAATAAATTCAAGTGCGTCCCTGATTGATATTATTGCTGTATCCAATACGGAATATATTTTAAGCGGACAGACAATAAATTCAGATATAATTTCCGATCACAGTTTAGTATTTTGTGAGTAAATTTTTCATTCAGAAATTATAAACCTTTGACACCTAATAATTTGAGGCCCATAAATATAGTACCGGCAATATCAAAAATTGCAGAAAAGGCAGCCTATAGTCAGATATACTCTTATGTCTCTGATAATAACATACTGCCTGAACACCAATCTGGTTTTCGAAAAAATCGCAGTACATCTAGTGCTCTGTTGAAAATGACCGACGATATTTTTTCAGCCACCGATAATGAAAAGGTCACTATTTTCTTGTCTCACGATTACAGTAAGGCTTTCGACATCATGATTCACGATCTGATGTGCGCTAAACTTGGTTTTTTTGGTTACGGTAAGGAGGCATGTGATTTTATTAGTTCATTTCAAAAAAATAGAAAGCAAGTGTTGTGATAAAGGGTAGTCAGTCTGATAATATGAGTATATGTTATGGAGCCCCGCAAGGTTCAATTCTCGGCCCGCTACTCTTTATTATCTACACATCTGACTTCTCCAAGGTTCTTAAGTTATTCAAATTTCATACATATGCAGACGACACTAACTTGTACTACTCCGATAAAGTAAGTCAGCTTATTGATCACGAAACATCGCTCAATGATGATATAAAAAATCATGTTCAGATTTCGCAGCAACACTGTTTAAACCTTAATCCTAGTAAATCATCTTTAATAATTTTTGGAAAAGCCAAAGATGGTGGAAGGGCCATAGATAATATCGATTTGTACATTGATGGACATTATGTGGAGTTGACTGACAAAATAAAATGTTTAGGACTTCATATAGACTACAACCTCAGATTTGTTCATCAAGTCAATACTTTCATTCAAAGGTCGAACGGTACTCTGAAACACCTGTATTCAAACATACACTATCTTAGTAGGTCTTCCTTTCAGACGTACTGATTCTACCTATGTTTAATTATTGCGATGTTGTCTATGGCCCTTGTATCGATTCCATAACTTCTGCAAAAATCCAGAAAGTACAGAACGCCTGCATTAGACTAATATTCAGCTTGAATTACAGAGATCATGTGACTCCTTCAATCAATCAAGTGAATTGGTTAAAAATGCAAAACAGAAGAGAATTGCATTTCGCCTGTTTCATTTACAAACTGATAAAAAAACACTCCACCTATTTGGTTAATAAACTCTTTCCCAGACATCAGATACACACAATAAACCTTAAATTTAATAATAATTTTGACATTCTGAATCATAACAGCACTATCTATGAACGATTCTTCACGTATCATGCTGTAACATTCAGTGAATCTTTGAAAAATTCATCACTACCGCTATTCAAAAGTAAACTTAAAACTGAATTGCTCAGCCAACAGTGATTCAAACATAAATATTTATATTAAATTTTACCATTATCCTGAAATTGCCATTTATTTTTTGTAATGTTTCTGTTTTTTTAAAACGTGGTTGAGTGGAAGAATAGCGCTTTGCTAAACTCCGCCACGTGAAATAAACACCATTTATCATTATTATTATTATTATATTACAGTTTAAAGTAGACTCATAAAACGAACAAAACTTTTGAAACAACCCAATACTAAGCAATGTTTTTGTAAAGAAAAACGATTTTACTTCAACAAGACCGTTTGACGTTGAAAATATTATAAATAAATGGAAAATATCAATACCCAAAAAAAACCTTAACCATAATATACACATATATACATTCAGTAACGCAAACCTGCGAATACATAATTTCAGGTCCTTTAATGCAGTATGCTGTCTTCGGTGGGGGTCCGCTGACGATCATGGGTGGCGTGGAAGGTTTAGGCTTCGTCAACACCAAATACGCCAACGCCTCCGATGATTTCCCAGACATCGAATTCCATTTCGTTTCCGGATCTACGCATTCGGACGCAGGGGCGCAAATTAAAAAAGCGCATGGTTTGACCGACGCCTTCTATGATAGAGTTTTCAAGCCCGTCCACGGAATGGACGCCTGGAGTGTTATTCCTATGTTGCTAAGACCAAGGAGCAGAGGTGAATACTTTTGTTTTTGATTATTTGGAAATTTGAAATCTCAAGACTCTCTCATGGCAGTATTTTTCAAAAAGTACGTTACGTGAGAGCTTCGCAAACATTTAAGTAAGAAGTTTTTTAATGAATTTCATTAGTTCGGACTTCCATTGTCTAATATGATATAAAATGATTTGAAATTCTTGTAAGAACCAATGCAATTCAAAAATTAAAAAAAGTAGCTGAAAATAACATTTGTATCAAGCAAAAAAACCCTGAAATGAAATTACAGTGTAATAAAATACAAGCAAAAAATTGAAAATTGAACAATTCGACAAATTTATTATATGAGTTTATTTGTAATGCATGATTATAGCATTCAGGAAATTATCGCTTCAAAAATTATTCATGCCATACTCCCCTGCATTGACATCATTGGGTTCAACAAACCGTTGTTGGATTATAAAGAGGTGATTCTTTTGGCCGTCATTTGATGTAAATGCATAATGAAATCACTAGAGACCGTTCACTGGATTTTTTTGACTATATAAGTCACTGAATGTTTTATTTCATTGGTTGATATAACGCTTTCTCAGGAAAGGAAAAATGAGATTGATTTCGTAATTTCAGGTTTCATCAAATTACGCAGCAAAAAGCCTTTCGACCCGCCCCTCATTTATCCCAACTATTTCATGGACGACATCGATATGAAAACATTGATCGAAGGTGTGAAAATTGGAGTGGCACTGAGTAAAACCCCAGCATTCCGATCTTATGGTAGCAGGCTTCTCGAATTCCCAGATTGTGCCCATATTCAAAAATACACTGATCCTTACTGGGAATGTATGATCAGACTATATTCTGTAACCATTTATCATCCTATAGGTGAGTCTAAATAAGTTATGCGCTTAGCCCTACTACAAAGCATACAACTAATAATATTATTGAGTATTTTATCAACGTTTTTGGGTACTTTCACCTTTCACAACCTGATAAATATGAAAATTTATACAAATGTAGAAAGGGCAAACTTTTTAGTTACTGCGTAAAATAAAAGTATTTTTCACAACGAAAAATGTTCTATTTATCAGTAACTTGTCGTATTTAACAATTTTTCCTATAAAAAAAATTGCTAAGAAATGATACAATACTTATCTTAACGTTTCGGAGGCCAAAATCTGCCGCCGTCTTCAGAAATGGACGAAAAATTCAAAGATATCAAAGATATAATTCAAAGAATAATCAGCGAAGGAATAACATCATTATCTTTGAATTTTTTGTCCATTTCTGAAGATGAAGGCAGATTTTGGCCTCCGAAACGATAAGATAAGTATTGTATTATTTCTTAGCAAAAATGATCTATGAAAAACTGATTTTCATCCACGAAAACTGACTTTCGTTCAATATTCTTGAGTAGCAAATGAAAATATAATCAAATATTTCTTAAGTTCCTTGTTGAGTAGGTCCAAAGCGACTACTGGAACCTCTGTGATAAGGTACATCAGTCGCTTGCTCACAAATATCTTTGCTGTTAAAGACTACGTTATTTTGCTAACATTATTCATACTGATTTCTTTGCAATTTCTTCGTTTGTACTTTCTACAACATTTCAAAACGATTGAAGCCAATACAATACTTATGTAATTCAGAACACAGCAGTCAAGTGAAATTTAAAACAGTTAGAAACAATATTCTCATTTAATTTGAACCGAAACGTTAACAGTGATATTTTTTGTTTCTCATGAATCTATTCAACCTACTATGGGTGCAATCCTTATTGGCAATTATAAGTCAATGGGTCTTCAAGTTCATAACCTGAGGTCCATGAAAATGAAATGAGATAGATTTCTCATAGTTGAAGTTTGAAAGAAAAATCGATCGGACCAGCAATTTTCATTTGGAGTGAGAAATCTTTCAAACAATCCACAGAGGCGTGGTGTGATATAATCCTTATATTTCAAATGATCAATAATTTAGCTTCGTTCCTATTGATTTAATTGAAGGAACCAATGCGANATCTGCCGCCGTCTTCAGAAATGGACGAAAAATTCAAAGATATCAAAGATATAATTCAAAGAATAATCAGCGAAGGAATAACATCATTATCTTTGAATTTTTTGTCCATTTCTGAAGATGAAGGCAGATTTTGGCCTCCGAAACGATAAGATAAGTATTGTATTATTTCTTAGCAAAAATGATCTATGAAAAACTGATTTTCATCCACGAAAACTGACTTTCGTTCAATATTCTTGAGTAGCAAATGAAAATATAATCAAATATTTCTTAAGTTCCTTGTTGAGTAGGTCCAAAGCGACTACTGGAACCTCTGTGATAAGGTACATCAGTCGCTTGCTCACAAATATCTTTGCTGTTAAAGACTACGTTATTTTGCTAACATTATTCATACTGATTTTCATGCAATTTCTTCGTTTGTACTTTCTACAACATTTCAAAACGATTGAAGCCAATGTACAATACTTATGTAATTCAGAACACAGCAGTCAAGTAAAATTTGAAACAGTTAGAAATAATATTTCCATTTAACTTGAACCGAAACATTTACAGAGATATTTTTTGTTTGTCATGAATCTATTCAACCTACTATAGCTACAATCCTTATTGGCAATTATATATCAATTGGTCTTCAAGTTCATAACCGGAGGTCCATGAAAATGAAATAAGATAGATTTCTTATAGTTGAAGTTTGAAAAAAAAGTCGATCGGACCAGCAATTTTCATTTGGAGTGAGAAATCTTTCAAGCAATCCACAGAGGCGTGGTGTGATAAAATCCTTATATTTCAAATGATCAATAATTTGGCTTCGTTCCTATTGATTGAATTGAAGGAACTACTACGAGAGTAATTAAGTGCAGGTAGCAAAATTTCAATAATGCTAATTTCCTCTTCCTTTCGATTAAAATTATTTCTATGTTTCTTTATATCAACTTTCTATATAGTCTTCATATTATCTATGAGTTCTTTTGAGCACTTGGATCACTTCGAAAATGATAACGCGGGTACCTTCTCTAAGTGTTTGTTTCGCTACTGCTGTTTGTCGGTACTTGACATAATGACCAATAAAATTAAAACAAGATGGTTTTTCAACAAATTGGGCAACTGCTTTTTGTGTTTTCGAATGAGATTTCTCCTAGTAGATGGATTGGTCGAAAAAAAAAAACAGTAGAGTGAGCCGCAAGATCACCCGATTTAGGTTCGTTAAACTGTTTTGTGGGAGAATTTGAACAATTTTTAAAATGATAATGTAGTAAATGTTGAATGCTATTCATTTCGAGTGTCCTCCTTTGTGAGGTTGAAATAATTAACTTTTGCTTGAAATTAATGATATTTTTTTCCACAAAAATTGAATTCCAAAATTTAGAGTAACTTCCTTTATGTTGTTATTAACTTATAAACAGAATTTCTCGATATTCACTGTAACAAATGACATTTTGAACGAGGTCTCACTTGATCCGTAATCTCATTCAATCAAGATTTAAGAATTGGGCCGCACACTATCAAAAGATATATCGGAAGATGTATCTTTCGAAATAGAAATCGATGGGCTGAATTAGTTTTCAAAACGCAAACTATGAGAAATTCGCCTTCATCACTTGCCACTGGCTCGCCCAGTATGTATGAGAATAACAGAAAGGACCGTTTTAGTATGCAAAAACTGAGGGTTGAATAACGTTTATATTTATAATTCATAAACGAATCATTCCTACTAATAATGAAAATTACCAGTGACCCGTGTTAGAAATCACACGTTAAAAGATTAAACCTTCTTAATTCTAAACTCGCANCCGTGTTAGGAATCACACGTTAAAAGGTAAGACCTCGTTAATCCTTAGCTCGCACAAGTTTCGACTTCTGAGGGTTGTCGTTCGTAGGGGTGCGACAGCTGGTTAACGGAAAAACAGATTTTTTTAAACTAATGGAAAAATATTATTTGTATAAGTTAATATGAATATAACTGAAAAAACCATTTGAAAAAGGGTGAAATAATCGGTGAAGATTAATTATCATCGATACTGACAACCAATTGACCAAGTAGATGAAATTCTGGAAAGCAAATATCTTATAAAGGTGATTCGAACTAAAGATCTTTGGTTAGTGACATTTGGTTAATGCATCCGGCATACTGCGCCAATTTCCTACATTATTTTCACAATTTTTTTTTATAGGAACTTGCAAAATGGGCCCCTACTGGGATCAAGACGCCGTGGTAGATCCTCAACTGAGGGTTTATGGAATTAAAGGACTGAGAGTTATAGACGCCTCGATTATGCCACAAATGGTCAGCGGGAACACAAATGCCCCTGCTATAATGATAGGCGAAAAAGGATCTGACATGGTGAAGGAGTTTTGGATGAAAGCTGCTAAATTCGGTCGAATACTTCACGGGGCCTAAAAATATGAGTAGGTCATACTAATGTATTTATGAATTGTGCCATGATTGGCGCCCCATATGAAAAATTTGAAATTAATATGGACTGAAATATTTCAGTGAAAATTTTAAAACAAAATTTAATGTGAACAATGGATCGATAGTGTTGGAATATGTTACGAATGGATAACATATAAAAGTGATGAATTAATTGTATAGCTCTATTTAAGCATGGAAAATAATGACACATTCAATAATCTCGATTATATATTTATGTCAAAGTCACTCCTTTGACTGAAAGTTTCTATAAAATAGTAACACACTTTATATGTCAAAACATTTTTTTGATGAATGATACATTTATGTGATCCGATATAAGATTATTATTAACATATTTGAATGACTGCTGTAAATTTCAGATGTATGTAAATGAGAATGAGAGGGTTTTTGCGATAAAAAAATACACTTTCCCTCTCGACGGTGTGAATGAATATTTCATAAATCAATTTTCACATTACCATTCTTATTTATTCCAAAGATACTGTATTTTAATTAAATGTAATATAATTTTTTCAAAGTACTGTTATTTTGTGCCAAATTGTCCCCTCATCATCATCTTGAAAAATATACTATATTGCATTCTGAACAATCAGGGTTCAGACCGGAACACAGTTGTGATACAGCCTTACTTGACATTGTTGATGATATTATTAGAGAGACAGATGCAGGAAAAACAACTGTTCTTATTCTGTTAGATTATTCAAAAGCATTTGATACGATAAACAACGAAATTTTATTGTCTATTTTACACTCTAAAGGTTTTTCGGTCAGTGCTATTATCTACAGGACAGGAGTCAATATATGGAGACAGCTGTGGGTCAGTCGGCAAGAGAAAATGTCACTTGTGGGGTTCCACAAGGGTCTATACTTGGCCCCGTACTATTTAGTATATACACAAGTGATTTCATTTCGAGCTTTACAACATGTGAAGTCCACTTTTATGCTGATGATACACACCTGTATCACTCATTTGCTCCAGAAGATTGGTTTGAGGCTCAAAAAGTTATATGTGAAAACTATATGTAAGTACTATAAAACTATATCTATTTTGAGAAAAAATTAGAGACAGTCTCTTGGCGAAGAATGAATAACTCAATGTTTCCACAGATATTTATTTACACTACAACATTTTTAAANTTTTTAAATTTGGAAATTTTCGCGAGTCGCAATACACGTATTTAGGTATGCAAAAAAGGTAAAAAAATTAAAGAAATTATTTTTATTGAAAACATATAAATAAACGTACAGAATATGTTGGAAAAAAAGTTTTTGGCTTTCTATGACCCCTTCTGGATACAAAAAAATGTGGGAATCTTCCAAAGTATAGGAGGGATGAAATCAATTTCAAAAATTAACTCTATTCAAAGATGTGTAGATCAAGAAAAGAATTCACTTTCAGACATAAACTGAAAGAAAAAGCCCTCACGATAAAGCTATTTTTATATAAACATCAAATTACACGAAAGAAAAATACTTTCGAAACAATTACTTTTATATGAACGCTGAATTAAACAAAAAGCACGTTTATCTATTCCGTTTGTATTCCAAACATTCATGATGGAAGCGAATCAGATATCATTCACAGGATTCCTACACAATATAATTAATGAAAGAAGTAAAACTACACTTACATAGAACATTATAAAAAAACACTCAATTCGTTCATAAAATTACGACTTTTTATAACGGAATGAGTTGAATACACCCATGTCATCGACGACCCTACGTAAATAACATTCATTCGCTTATTTGATTAAATTTCAGCATTTTACTGTGTCCCAGCCACAGGAATCTTGTTTAAATTGAAATGGTATATTTTTAGGAGAGATTAATTTTTGAGGAAAAATTTTGGCTTTCTATTTCTCCTTCTTTATACATGAAATGAAATTGATTGCTTTTTTCCTTTCTTTGGAAGATTCCCACATTTTTTGTATCAAGAAGAAGAAGTAGAAAGCCAAAAACTTTTTTTCATAAATGAATTGAGTGTTTATTCTACTAAAAATATACCCTTACAAAATATATGTATTGAATTTAAATAATAAAAAATTTAACGCATTTATTTTACTTCCCTTGATAATTCTTTAATATTTGGTGACAGCACTTCTACGAGTGGTAATGCGGAATAAAATGATTCACATAAGTAGTAATAGAGGAGCCCAAGCGGGGAATTCGGGATTTACTAAAGCGCGGCAGATTAATGTACAGGTTCTACCCGGTTAAGTACCTCCACCAAATATGAGCCTGTGAGGGATAAAGGATCAGATCAGTAAAAAAAATTGATCATCAGAAATTCTCGAGCGCGTCAGATTAAGGTAGGGTGAGTTGATTACCTGCTAAAAAGTGTATATTCCAGTTTTCTGACAATTTGAGAATGACGTAGTGAAAGGGGAGGGCAGCAAAGTTGTAAAAAAATAACGTCATTTTGACATTCTCGAGCGTAGCTAATTTTTTTCATTTTTTAGGAAATAATTCAACGATAGCGAAAAATATATGATCTGACGATTTCCACAAGCCAAAATAACGAAAATTCGTCGATAAAGTTTAATGCGTGCAGCTGTGTGATACTTACATTTCCCTCTCAGTGTTTCTATTCCCCTATTCTCTATTCACTTTTTCTCTATCTATTCCTCTCTCACTCCGACCCCACTCTGAATTCTGTTTCCATGACGCTATCAGAGCTGATCACAAGGAGTTGTTCGTGATGAAGATGNGAGTTTTTTTTTTGTTTAATATTGTTTAATAACATTTTTTCAATTCGAGAAAAATTATAAAATGTATCATTTTTAAAGTCCTTTTGAAAGAGTTGTAATTTAGTTTGATATGCACTGTGAGAGGTAAGATATTATTTTATTTTTTCCCTGCAATTGTGAATTCAGTGTTTGCAAATGTTTCATGGAATTAAAAACATTAAGTCTTGTAACCACTCGTCATCATCTCAGTCTTTCAAATTTGTAGTCAAAAATACATTTTGAAACACATATAAAACGATGATGACTTTTTTAAAATATAATAGCACAAAAATTACATTTATCGAGAGCCACAAATAATTTTTCAAAGAGCCGCATGGCACGCGAGCAACAGGTTGGCCCCCCTGGCATATAAAATAAGACCTTATCTTTAAGCGAACCTTAAAACCTCTAAAACCGAAGAAGTTTCACAAATCTGAAGATTACGCAGATGAAATTATTTCTGACGAACCATTATTCTTGCGATATTAACAATTTCAAATCTCATATTACGATTATTTTATTTCGAATAATCGTCATTTTGTTCGCTAAGAAAACACACATGTTGTTTAACATTACTCGATATCTCATTTCCGAACGGTCAGCAAATCTCCGTGAATAAATTTAGATAACATCTAGAATTAGCAAATGAAAGTTGTGTGAGAAAAAATAGTGAAAAGTAAGTGAACTTTGAAGTTATACCTAGTTATACTTAAATGTAGAAATAACAGTGTGCGGTATTTAAACGGAAAGCTCTCAATACTTCAGAAATATTTAAGAATAACAGTACCAAATTTGGAAAGCATCATTGAAAATGATGAATTGAAATTTATTGTTAGCCACGTTGCCAATTTTCAGTTCTTTAAGTGATTATTATCAACTTGTTTCATTTCAGTAGTCTGGCTTCTAAACGTGTCATTTTGTTAGAATGTTCTACTCGTCCAGAAATACTAACCAGGATTGAGATAGTATCCGACAGATTGAGGAATATCTAATAATCGCTGAATTTCAATTTTTCTTATTATATTCTAGATGGTCAGAATTTAATGAAAGTCCTGAAATTGTTCCGAATTCTTGGGTTTCTTGTTGAATACCCTTCGTGAGCAGGAAAATAGCAGAGTCAATACTCCCGGCCGCTCTGAATTGAATGATTCCGTACAGTCTATCTCGTCTTGTATTTGTAAATCTTGTGCTGGAAAAATCCTCACTTGTTTAATTTGTAGTAAATGTTCAAGAGGTAGCAAAAACGTATGTGACTTTCTGGAACTTCAACTAGCGTTTCCTAATACGACTGTAACCAGTCCGTGCAAAGCTTTTAACGGGTGATGATTAACTGCTTTGCCAAATATGCGCCAAACTAATTGACTATTATGAGACAACAAGTATAGCTGAGGCACCTGTCAATCTAATAATAACACTGATTATCTTCAAACCTTCACCACATTCTAGTCGATATATACCAGATCTACTCCCTTTGTCTAATTTAGGTTTGGCATTAAATACTCTGTTTCCTAAATATCCTTTAGATGTTTGTAGATTGAATTTTGAGAGATAATTTTTAATATTCTCGGAGATTTTACCTGCATAATTGATACTAACATATTTGTTTGGGAAAGAAAGTTTTTGGCTTTCTACTACTCCATCTGATACAAAAAAAAGGAAATGAGAGAATCTTCCAAAGAAAGGAAGGAAGTAATCAATTTGAAACTCTATACATGAATGTGTAGATCATGCAAAGAAGTAACTTTCAGACTTTCTTTCAGTTTGTGTTCAGCATATTCCCAAAAAGAGCAAGAAAATTCTTAGACCAATCGCTTTGCTATCAGTGATATCATAAATCATGGAAACCGTTGTAAACCGCCATATCCTTAAATATTTGGAAAGCTTCAACATCTTGAGCGATGATCAATATGGCTTTCGGAAACAAAAATCAATAGACGACCTCCTGTCATATGTCACCCATATTTGGAATAACGCACTCGAGAAACATGGAGAGTCAAGAGCTGTTGCGCTGGATATTACTAGAGCCTTTGACCGTGTGTGACATGAGGATTTGCTGGCCAAACTGCAAGTGGCCCTCGATGTATATCTCGCTGGTGTTACCCAGGAATGCATATTATCTCCAACCCTTTTTTTATTGTATATCAACAACTTATTGGAGAAAGAAAAGAATCCAATATATTGTTTTTCTGACCACATCACACTTGTCTCGTCATTCCATGGATTCCAGGACATCGACTGCGGATGCACATCTTCACTGGCAGCAAAACGTTGCATATATTAATGAGGATTTAAAGGTGATTCAATGTGCTATCCACGTTCAAAAGTATGTTGGGGGTTAAAATGGACACTAATATATCTTGGCACAATCATGTCGCTGGAATTGCAAAAACTTCTTCTCAACACCTTGAAACACTGTTCCGAACCCTAAAACTGTACACACCTCAGGTACTTTTTTGATATTTCATAAAGCTCAGATCAGACCTTCTTTGGAGTATTGTTCTCATGTATGTAGCTCCGCCCCTAAGCATACCCTGAAGTTGCTATAGTTACCATCCGGAAAAGAACCATCCGCCTGATTGGCGACACAAACATCACTTGCAACCATGAATTCGTATTTACAGAACAAATAATCAAAATCGAATTTGTGAAATCAGGAATTCCATCACATCAAATTAAAGTCCAATACATCACTAATGAGTTTTGAAATGAGAAAAGTTCAGTGATTTTTGTTTATTTTGATATTTTAATAGTTGGTGTCTACTAACAGTTTCACAAATTTCATTATCCAAGAAATAATTGTATATACCAGTATTTTCAGTTCCACTGTAACACAGACGATTGAATTAAGACTGAAGAAACAAAAATCAATACAGTAACATCGTTAACATTATCATTAGTATTTATTTCAAGTTAGGAATCATACTTCAAAAGGAAAGACCTCGTTAGTCCTTAGCTTGCACAAGTTTCTCAACTTCTGAGAGTTGTCGTTCGTATGGGGGCGATAGCTGATTAACGGAAAAACAGATTTTTTTAAACAGACTCTCATTCGTTTGATACCTCCTAAAATTGTATGTCTCAAAATAGAAAACGAGTCTCAGAAATATGTCGTTAGTTGCAGGTGTTGAAAAAGAAATCTTGAGGAAGTGAAAAAAAATAAACCACATCGGAAGGTTATGATATAGTATTATTCATCGTACGGCTTTTATCAATCCAGATACTGATTATAACTGAGATCTTTCCCAACCAAACGCCGTGTAAAAATGGGATATGAAGATAGGAACAGTTTAAATTTTTCCAAAAGTGACCTCTATGTTTATGCAAAGGTGACAAACCCTTGTACGGCTTTTATAAAAATATATAAAATCATTCATATAAATTATAACGGAGCGGTACTGAAGGGTCTTGGTTGAACTGTTACTGGTGTTTTCAGTTGTGCGACGTTTCGGTTTCGACTTTGAAGCTATTTTCAGGAATTATTGACTACACTGAGGTCTCAATTAGCCTACACCCAAGCGTCGACTGTGGGTCCACCCCTCCATGTACCACAAAATAAATTTTGTGAGAAAAACGTTTTATCCCATTCCTTCCACTCCTGCTCTTACGTGAGCGGTCCTCAATCCTTGCTGATAGGCACTTCAGCAAGATTACCTCCATCGGTCAAAAGTCAGCCTTTAGGTGCTTTTACTTTCTAAAGTAGTAGTAGTAGAAAAGGAAGTGTTTGTTATCTGTTAAAAAAATGTTTATATTTAACGGAGCCGCCTGACTGCGATTCTCAGAGGTGGACGTTGGATTTGCTTGGCTGGCCTTCTGTGTTTATCTCTCTCAGAATCCGGGGTCATTCTTGTTTAATGCATTGTGTAGATCGCGTAGTGCTGGATTGTCGTGCGCTCGATCTGTCTTCTGTATGTCGCTGCGCAGTGGAGACATACAGGATTTTTGTTAGTAGTACAGTCTTTATCATCAGCAGCTTCACTTTCACTCCCATGTTGCTTCTTCGACCTATTATTGGTAATAGGTTTTGTCGGGCAGATCTTGCCAGTCCTATTCTCTGCAGTACGTGAGACCTGAATGTTAATCTTTTGTCTAGGGTGACTCCCAGGTATCTAGCTCCGTTGGTCCACGGAATCTCTTGTCCGTTGAAGGTGACGTTTCCTTCCGGGTGTGCCCGCCTCCGGGTGAACAGCATCGCCTGACTCTTGTTAGGCTTTATACTCATCTTCCACAGGTTGGCCCATTCCTCTAATCTATTTGCCTGTTGCTGCAAGTATCTAGAGACGTGCGCTTGGCTTGTTGATCTCGTCAGCATAGCTGTGTCGTCTGCGTAAAGCGCTAATTTGTTAAAGTTGTTCTCCGGCTTGGTCACGTCTGCGGTGTATACTGAGAAGAGCTGTGGCGAAAGGACTGCACCTTCCAGTAGTCCCATAGTTGAGAGTTCTTGTTCTACGCTGTAGCGCCATCGCCTGTCGTTTAGAAAAGACTCGATTAATCTCAACATTTGTTTCGTGTAGCCAAAATTAAAATGCCCATTCTGGCCAGAAGGCCGTCATGGCAAACTCTGTCGAATGCCTTGGAGACGTCTAAGAAAATAGCTCCGATGTTGTATCCTTTACCGAGATTGAAGCCTTTCGTCGCAAAGTCTACTACCTTCAGGACTTGCAGCTCTGTCGAGTGTTCTGATCTGCAACCGAACTGTTCATCTGGTAGGATTCCTAGTCTAACCTGTGTGTCCACAGGCTCTGATCTGGTATTTATATCCCTGGACGAGTGGAGTTGGTAGTGGGAGTGGGGTGTGACTTGCAGAAGCGAGATGTGCAATGTATCATTTCGTTTGTCGACTTAGTTTTCAATTCTAATAGCTTCGTGGATTATCCTGGCCTGAAGAGTTTTGTAGGTGTTCCATGAAAAAACTCTGTTCCTCGATGATGTTTGATGAGGGATGAAGCTGGATCTGATTTACAGACAGCAAGCTCATGTTCATAGCGATCCAGCCTCATTTTCCTCCAAATACCATCGTGGAACAGGTCACACAAAGAGCTTCGAAAATACCAAAACCATTGCCACCGAAAAAAATCTTCAGGCCGCAGAGCTATTGACATTAAAAACGTCCCAACTGCCTCAAAAAACCAGATGATTTACAAAGATGGCCTAATTCATGGAGTTCACTACAGTCACGCCGTACATGTCACAACATTGCACACCTTGCTTCTGTGAGTAGCACCTCTGTTTCCACTACCAATTTCACCCTCGCTTCCACTATCGGTCCACCCTACCATCTTGTCCAGGGACATGAATACCAGACCAGAGCCTGTGGACCCACAGTCGACGCTTGGGAATAGGCAGATTGAGACCCCGGTGTCAAGTCACGAGACCCTCACGGCGTGTCACTACCTGAGAAGCAGATTGATACCTTATTGCTGTTGAACAGCTGAATGTCGAACAACTGAAAAAACTAGATGGGGTTCAAGCCGGATCCGAAACGTCGACCTTTGAAAAATACACAATGGATGAACTTCCTAAATATTTTTACAGGAAAAAAAATGTCGGCGATCAACCAACAGATGAACTTGTTTTCTATGACGAGAATGGCTTTAACTATGGGTCCAGGATTGGGATTTCTCCTATACTTACATTCTAGCACTATGAACTCGAGGCCTGACATCATAGATAGAGAACACCGAGTGAGAGATATTCCGAACTATCGAGTTTTGGAAACGTATGATTTTATTATAGTTGGTGGTGGAAGTGCGGGGACAGTATTAGCGAATAGGTAAGGAACATAGAAAGTAGAAAATATTAATAATGATATCTGATCACTTAATTCTTATTCGAGACAACGTCAAAACTTTCGAGGATATTCACTGAACATCATTCATAGCTTTCGAAATTTCTAGATTATTTTATGCATTTTCTCAAAATCGACTACTTAAACTGTACCATTTTGAAACAATGTGAACCTAAGTTACAAGGAATATAAACATTGCCATCACTAAATTAATAAATCTCAATTCAAACGATTAGTCGAAGAAACATACATAATTTTTCAAAACATTGTAAGTGGTAAATTAATAAATATCAGATCGAACTAATTAATAATTCTCAGATCGAAGTGAAGATGAAGGGTGGGAAAAAATAACAGAATTTAAAAAATAAAAATAGAACTCACTATCAAACAAGAAATCTGATGATACGCGTCCGGAAAGTCGATAACGAGAGTTTTTTCAACTCTGGTGGTATTTTATCAATACATTTGGTGATGTGATAGGAAAATGAACGTCTGTAAAATTATGTGTGAAACTTCGGAAAAGTAAGCAAACTTTTTCGTTTAATGTTAATATTATGTACATAAGGACGAAATGTTATGTTATTGTACAAATACGAGGTGGGGGTTGGTATTTTAAAACTTTGTAAAACAAGCAGGCAGAATGAAGGAACCTTCGATCATTCATATTGAGTCATTTGTTTGTTTTCAGTGTGTATGAAATCCTATCGTATTTCCTAATGCCAAGCAACTATTTTGAAGCTTTAAAAGCTTTTGAATTCGTTTGATATCAATGGAGTTTATACAAGGAGCGTAAAGAACATCGCAGTAATTCAACTTGAATAATACTGAAGAGTCACATAGTAAACTTTCAATTCTTTTATTAAATAACTGTCTATTTTGATACTACAGTATATTTTTTGTATACTTGTGCTGATATGATGAGAAAATCTCATATCTTCGTCAACCCACAAACCCAAATTCTTAATTAGAAAGTGTTAAAGGACCCCCTCCAATCTGAATGATATCAAAGTAGTTTGTAATAAATTGTTTTCTTGCATTCTTTCTACCAAAAACGATTGCAACAGTTTTATTTGAATTCAGTTTTAGGCAAGGATTATTAGAAAATTGGTCAAGATTATATAAATCAAAATTTAAAGCACTCTCATCTTGAGAGTATTCTTCTTCAGGTTTGAATGACAAATATAAGTGTGTCTCATCAGCATAATAGTGCTGCGTACATGATAGGAAGGACTTAGGAAAATTGCAAGTATATAGACTGAAGAGTAGGGGCCCCAATACTGACCCTTGTGGTACTCCTTTATCAATTTTCAAAACTTCAGAAACTTTTCCACCATTGCCTGAGTTCTATCGCCTAAATAACAGGATAGAAATTTCGTAGCTTTTCTGCTGATCCCTACAAAATTAAAAATGGCTTGTAATATTCTGTGATTGAGAGTATCAAATGCCTAGGAATAATCTAGTATTATCAAAACAGATACTTTTTCTTTATCAGTAGCATTAATTATGTCATCAGAAATTTTTAGAAGAGCCGAAGTGCAGGTATGACCTGGCCTAAAACCAGATTGGTTATTTTGAATAATATCGTTTTTTTATAAATGTTTTCGAATTTGGTTTTCAGTGACATTCTCCAGAATTTTTGACAAAGTGGAAAGTATACTAATTGGTCTGATATCATTTAAGCTGCTGGATTAGAATTGTTCGGCAGAGGTATAATGTGAGCTTGTTTCCAAGCTTTTGGAAAAACAGAATTTTTTAGGCAGTAATTCATAAGATGTGTAACGTATGGCAGGAAAAATGGAGTTCAAAGATGTAACGTTAAAATATCAATGCCATACGTACCTGTTGCTCTGCTTTTCAATTTTTTTATTACATTAAATATTTCTGTATCATTGACTTGTTCAAAATCCAAAGAGGAGAATATGGAATTTTTCAGATTATTTTTCTAATATTCAATAATATTCTCATCATGTTCGAAATCAGGAATATTGTTAATGAAATGATCATTTATAGTATCAGTATTATTCAACTTCAACATTCAACTTCAACTTCATAACTTAGAAAGTTATGTCTCAATTTTCCAAGGATTTTGAAATATCAATAATATTTTTGAATTTACTATTTTGATTCATTGCTTACGTTTATTTCGCTAATTTTGCCGCTCTAAATTGCAGATTGAGCGAAAATCCTTTCTGGAATATTCTCCTTCTAGAAGCCGGACCCGACGAAATATCCATAACGGATATGCCACTTTTGTTTCCAGCTCTGCAAATGACGCCTTTTGATTGGCAGTACCGTACTGAACCAGGCAGCAAGTACTGCTTGGGTTTCAAGGACAAAAGGTGCAATTGGCCTAGAGGAAGAGTCTTGGGAGGTTGTTCGGTGTTGAACGCAATGTTGTACATTCGAGGAAATAGAAGGGATTATGACAGGTGAGAGAAGCAAAGAACTTTGTTCTATTAGGTATTGTTTCTAGGTATTGAACACTTTGAGTTTGGACATATTTTTATAAAAAGTTGTGTTTGTAGCTAGCTGTCAGATTAGGCTGCGATACCTGAAAAAAATTACATTTTTCACCGTACGGCGAACGACCTTACATCTTTGTTTTCCTATTACATTGGAATTCATAATTCCTAGGTGATAAAACAATAAAACACTTTAAGAATTTTACCTAGGAATCCCCAGATAGTAGAATTGGTGAACAAAGGGTGTTTCATTTTTTACCTGTGGGTCTTTAAAAGGATTGTCTTTTACTTTCACTTGGCATTACAGGCTCGTTGTGGATGTTGTAATTATCAATGCTTATTTCGGATAAAAAAACTGGAACTATTAAACGATTTCTGACGTCCTCTTCTACTTCAAAAGATTGTGCTAAAAAACCTAAATTACCGGCCAATCGTAAATACGATGAAAGCTACTTACAGTACAGTTTTATAGTGAAGCCATGGACTGAAACCAGTGACATTCCTATTTCTCAATGTGTTGTATGTCTTGAAACACTTTTTGACAAAAACTGAGTCATGAAAATTGACATTGCTCCTGAATGCAAAAGTACGAATTGTGTCATCTATCAAAATACATAAGCTGCTAAAATAATGCTAGAAAATCTTAACTCCGTTCTATCAGATGCTGTGGAAGTTATTAACTTCATAAAGGCTAGGGCTCTAAACACAAGATTATTCTCCTTGATGTGTGAAGAAATGGGTGGTAAGTTCAAAACTTTACTCGTGCATACAGAAGTGAGGTGGTTATCTCGCGGGAAAATTTTGAACCATCTCTTAGAACTGAGATCAGAAGTTTTCATGTTTTTAAGTGAAAAAAATCATGACATGAAAAAATTGTTTGCTGATGAAGAATGGTTGTCGAGATTGGCTTACCTAGCCGACATTAATTAAGAAAGCCTTTGAGCACTTCTAGAAAAGTAAATATTATATGTCTATTAAAATATTAAGTTCTGGTGGTACGCCAGTATTTCTCAAAAAGTCAAGTGGTACGCAGGTGCAAAAAGGTTGTGAACCCCTGCCCTACAGTGAAAATGAATGTCCCAAACCACAGTATAGCTAAAACCAGTAGTGTCACTCTTGTCGGAACCTTCGATGTTTGAGTCTTACAGTTTTATTTTCTTAGTGCTGCTGCGAATCCATAATTACCCGTCACGAGTGGATTTGTCAGCGTTTGACATTTCATACACTGCTCAACAAGTGAATAATAGATATAACCTGCTCGACAGTAAAACACATTTTATGAAAAATTAAATGGGTGTTCTGTAGTAATGTAGAATATTATGAAAGGCTTTTAATTATTTATTCAAATTGTTCCACGTTTTTACTCGCTCCTTGTTTGGTTCAAATTTTGTAATAATAAGTTACCGAGGAGCTAAAGGGGCTTGCAACATCAAACATAGCTCAGAACTGGATAAAGTGCAATATTTTTGCATACTATATGAATAATATAAAACGTATAAAATCGAACAAAGTTCGGAAAGCGTGTCGCACAACCTCTTGTGATGCAACAACATTCAAACATACATGTACGCAGGTACAACTAAATAAAGATCAATACTTATAATACTTATTGCTTTTTTACTAGTACCATTGGGAAATTCTGCTAGTTGGTTTCAGCTAGGATGCCCTTACAAATCAATTTCTATTCTCTGAGGAACATTGCACTAGGATTTTTTTGTATAATTCAATACCCGTCATGGCACTAGAAAGGGAAGTAGTTGATCAGACCAGTGTTTGCCATAACAGCCTTTATGGGGACTAGAAATGAGTGAAACATCGTTACACTGCTCAACAAGTGAATAATAGATATAACCTGCTCGGCAGTAAAACACATTTTATGAAAAATTAAATGGGTATTATGAAAGGCTTTTAATTATTTATTCAAATTGTTCCACGTTTTTACTCGCTCCTTGTTTGGTTCAAATTTTGCAATAATAAGTTACCGAGGAGCTAAAGGGGCTTGCAACATCAAACATAGCTCAGAACTGGATAAAATGCAATATTTTTGCATACTATATCAATAATATAAAACGTATAAAATCGAACAAAGTTCGGAAAGCGTATCAAGAAGTTTCTTACGAATAGACAGAATTGATTTGCTTGTCCAACCCAGCCAGACCTCTTGTGATGCAACAACATTCAAACATACATGTACGCAGGTACAACTAAATAAAGATCAATACTTATTGCTTTTTTACTAGTACCATTGGGAAATTCTGCTGGTTGGTTTTAGCTAAGATGCCCTTAGGAATTTCTATTCTCTGAGGAATATTGCACAAGGATTTTTTTGTTTAATTCAATACCCGTCATGGCACTAGAAAGGGAAGTAGTTGATCAGACCGGTGTTTGCCATAACAGCCTATATGGGGACTAGAAATGGGTGAAACATCGGCCGGCAGCCACTATCGTTTCTAAATGATTTCCCAAAAGATATCTAAGCTTGGTGTAAGTGTATGAATATAACAATAATCAAATTTTTGATTGATAACAATATACCACACCATTAATCAATAAAATACTTCTTAGAGAATTGGGATGAGCGGAAAAGAGTTAGGAATATTTTGCAACTATTGTATAGCACTAGAGATGATATATGAACTGATGTTAGTTTTCTCAACGACAGCTCTCGCTACACTCGTTACTGCATGAAGCCCAGCACGTTTGTCGTTCTAAATATTGCGAGTATTCTCAAACTGCTAATTATCTGTATCGATTTAAGACTGTATACGACACCAGGAGAAATCATTTCTTATAGTATTTAATGCAAGAATGGTCAAATGGTTATTTTAATAAATCTCTGATTTCGTTTAAAAAATAATTCAATGACTACATATCTATAAAAAACTGATAAATTCTTCTGATAATCTGACTATTGGCATACGCCGCCGCCGTGTGGCATACCATACCTGTAGGAAACCGTTGCAGCACCGCTCAGGCGCCGCGCAGGAGCCGCACTGCATCGTGTGGCCTAGCCCTAAGGGACCCGGAGCGGAACTCGGTGTACTTACTGACCACCGGACATAACTCCTGTAGACCCGTCAGATTTTATTACACTTCATAATGAGTTTCAAGAGTGCCCCAAAAATGAAAAGAACTTTTTTATTCCTTTTTACACAAAATTTGATTGTTCATAAAACAAATTCAAAGTTCTAAATAAATTTAAATCTGATACAGACTATGAAAATATGAAAAAATAACAGATTGAAGATCTGCTCAGGAGTGAGTATAACCATTTTCTTTGCGAAGAATACTTTGCTTTTCTTCTGTGTACGGTTCTCCATTACAATTTTTATTTTCTCAGATTGTGGAAGGTGAAAAAACTTAAAAAAGGGTCTTTAGGGGGCTATGATCAAACTCAATGACAAAAAATTATATTTTTGATAATCACTAAGTTAGGACACATACCAGGTGATGAAAATTCAATTGCACACTTTTGCTGTCTCAGTAATGGTAGAAAATACAAAGTGGAGGTGATGTGAACTGGCCACCGAGATCGTGCGATTTAACCCCGTTAGACTTTTTGTTTTCGGGTTTAATCTGGTCTGGATTCCTGGCCATACTGACCTGGAAGGAATTAGGCTGCTGACTCCCTTGCAAAGGAGGGTGCTGCAAACATCGGATCAGAACCTGTCACTGACATCGCTTTAGGCTTTGCCAAATAAAGATTAAACACCTGGCTTTCAAGAAGATGTATGGACTTCTGGCAGAATCTTCCAGGAATGGATCACTCCAAGGCGTTTATTCGGCCTTCGAAGCTTGATACCAAACAGTTGTTTGTTGGACTACAGTAGGGATGAACTACGATGTCTTCTTACAGGTCACTGTCATTTGAATCATTATATGCCGAGACTCGGACTGTCGGAAGATAGTGTGTGTCAGCTCTGTTTGGAAAATGATGAAAAAGCAGAGCACATGCTTTGTGCCTGCTCCACTGCTGGGGACCGAATCAAGTTTTTAGAGTTCAGCTCCGTTAAGAAGCTGAGGTGTGAAGCGGAAGTGTGAATAGGTGTGAGCCACAATAAACCCCTGCGGGTTGCGGTGGAGGATCGAATAAACCCACTCACTTTGGACCTAACCTAACCCACTTGCTTGATTTCCATTGAAATGAAAGTAGTAACTACCAATCAGCAATAGAAACTCTGATGATACTGTGATTTTCAAAAAAGGAATAAAACACCCCTACTTTTTAGGTGGGAAGCTCTCGGTAATCCAGGATGGGGGTATGATGAGATTTTGCCTTACTTCAAGAAGTCAGAAGATATGAGAATACCGGAACTCAAAGATGATGAATATCACGGAACTGGTGGATATTTGACTGTAGAACATTTCCGGTGAGTCAATACTATTTATTGAGATAATTATTAATAATTAGTTTACTGAGAATTGAAAGAAAAATGATAGAATACCGTTATCTTCTTGGAGGCGATTATATGTTGACTCAAATTAAAGGAGATTTAATCATATTTTTTGAATTCTGATTGTACAACTGTATTTCTACAATAATAATGATATAATGGGAAGATAGGGTTGACATTTTGAAATATTACGTACAAAATCAACGAGAATGTTTACAAATGGAGGAAAATTTATAACATATATGCACAAAAAAAAAATTAGTGAAATATGACAATATTTTTTAATTAGATCATTATATGAATATTTCGCCCAATATAAAAGAATTTAATATTTAAAATACGATCACAGTAAGGAGATTGCATTAATGACCATGTTACGATTGCGCACGGCTGGTGTTAACCTCGAAGTAGGAATGGGCCAACTGAGGCTGGGCCTATGGCAAAAAGAGCTTACTGCACAACCTCTGCTGCATGCAGCCAGTTATGCAATTGAACCCAGGTTTGTATTTAATAGACCCTACACTCCACATCCCCCACTCGGGATGTGGAGTGTATTCCAGATTACTGAGCCTGAAGATTGAGTGGGGTATGGAAAAAAATACCAGCGTGGTTCAAACAAAACTGGCTGGTATCTCAATCGCCACAAAAGAAATAACCAGGAAAGGAATTTCTGACAAAAACATAACAATCTGCACTGATTGTAGACAAGCTCTATTAGACTTGAATAGACAACGTGTTACCTCAGGGTTAGCACTAGAGTGCCACCAAGATTTAGCCAAAGCCTCGGTAGATAATAACATTATCCTGAGGTGGATTGAAGGACACGACAGGAGTAAAGGTAATCGCATTGTTGACTCTTTAGCCGAAGAAGCGGCTGGACTAAGAATTTTGGGACTCAGTGGCACCTACGGACTGATGACTTCGACAATTGCGGAACTAGTCAAATGTTACACCCATGCTCTATCCTTAAAGAGATGGTATGGAATCAAAGGATGCAATCTTGCCAGTATCACCCTGGGTGATCCTGAGAAGCTGGCGCCGAAGAAATTTCAGAGTTATTGTCAATAAGAGAGTGTGTTCGGCGAGTCTTTGCCTACACCTGCTGATTTGAAAGAGATGTCTCCTAGTGACCTATCCACCTTCCTGGAAAGGACAGGATGTACGATGACCTAGGAGGACAACTCCTCGGGAGGATGTACAATGGGTCACATGTGGCCCTAAGTGTTGTGGGCCTACACTCACCCTCCCTACTCTACAGATACAGAGATAGCCAACTGTGTGAAAACCAACTATGAATGAACGTCTTGAACTTGACACCACTGGGAGAAAAATTTGGCCTCGATAAATTATAGTCTTACACTTCAATTGTTTGAAGTAATTCATTGTAATTTATTGGTAATACACTTGAAAGCCAGACACATTATTAGAATTATAATAAATATAATGATATAGGTGTATATTGTGGCTGCTCATCGTTTTGAGGTTTAACTCAGTGCACCTTGAACTTCACTGTTTAAGAACTCTTTCATTTTGATAACTGCTTTTATGTGGAATAAACTTCCTGAGAACGTTTTTTCAGACAAAAATACATATATTCTTATATTTTCTTCGTACAATGTAGTGCCGAATAGTGTATAAATGAAATCAAAATAAGATTCACTTCAAGTCAAGACACTGTACATCAGAATTTTGAAAATGTATTTGCATTTTTGGAAAAAGTAGGAAGACATGAGTTACTTTAAATTCAAATGTAAATATTTCAATAATAGGATGCATAATATTTTAAAATTTGTTTTTTTCTCAATCTATATATTTTCTAGTTGTTATTGCTATTTATTATTCTCTTGATTCGTGGGGCATAACCTCAAAGCAAAATACGTGTTTGGGAGGCAATGCTAATTTCAATTTCAAAATATCCCACTCTCCCACTCCTTACTTAGGGTGGTAATAGTGAAATATTTTTTGAATCAAATATTTTCAAATTATGGTGCACTCTTGCACGAATGAAACAATGTTCATTAAATCAGTACGTGGCTAACTACTCGTATTCACCTATTTTATATTTGTTCATAAAAAGGCAAATACGATTTTGGCAAGTGATGAAAAATTTCTGAAAGTAACCAATAATTAATACAATCAGCGGTAATATTACTAGCTGACCCGAAAAAAAGTTTTCTGCTATATAAATTATTCACAAATTATTTATAAATCATTTTCAAATAAAAAAATCACCTAATTGAGTCGATTCAGAGGAGTGCGATCACAACACAACACCAGGTTTCTATATACATATTAGATTAACTTCTCTTTTATCGAGTACCAAACCTAGTGTATATTTCCTGTTATGCATGCAACTTTCAATACAGCGGACATTATTACGTAAGGTGATATTACAAAGACGAACAAAGCTTACGTCTCCTGTCCTGTAACTTAGGCAACTTGTAAGATCTTCGACCTTAATATTGAAAGGGTGTGTATTACAAAAGAAAAATATTTTATGAGCCATAATCGTAACTCTCCAATAAACAAAACAAAATTACTGAACAATTTAACAATTAATTTTTGGAAATGAAAAAAAATATAGATTTCAGTCGATACATGTTGCGCACGTAAACTTAGTCACGATAACTATAAATATACTGATTCGCTATTATGTAAGTGGGAAGGTAACTGTCTCTCAGGATAACCACTTGAGTTAAGTTGAATTAAACTGAATCAATTAAAATGGATGTAATAAGACCCAAAAAGCTTGTTTCCACCTGTAGGGGCTGCTTTGACCTTCCTTTTGCTTTTTTTAAAAACTGAAAATATCGAAAAAACTTAAATATTCATTTAAAGCCACTGTTTTTGTTAGCTGATCGAAAACAATCATGAAGTTTCTGTTTTTACTGCTGTAGTCTTAGGAATTAAATAACGAAATGGCTGAACATTGTAAATCGCTTTGAAAAATGTCTCCAATTCGAAATAAATTGGAGATAACAACTAAAAAAATGAAAATAAAACTATATTTTGGGAAATGTTGATCAAAAATTGGAAATTTCATTTTCTGTTAAAAGGGTTGAAAACTTCCAAAATTTTCAGAGAACCAATGATATTCCAATCAACAAGTCCCATTAGTTTTTTTTGAAATAAATAGGAATATTGTGACAAATTGCCCGAAAACTATTATTCAACTTATTTCGAAAAGAAAAAGGAAGTGGAAAAATGAAAAACTTTTTTCTTTCTGGAAAGTAAAACTAAACACTACCTACTATACAATTTTATCGTAATTGCTATAGTTCAGGAAATATTGAGTCAAATTGTAAATCTTGTTTTCTGTTGCAATGGTTGAACATTTCCAAAATTTTCTTCTTGAAAACGATTATGTTCCTTTCACTCAACGAGTCCCATAAAAAATTCAGGATTTTTTATGAATAGTCCAGGAATCGGTAAAAAATTGCATCAAAATTGTTAATCGACTTGAAAATTTCATCTTCATGCCCAAAGAAGATAAAAAAATACTTCATTGCAGATTTTCCATATTTGCTATAGTTTTGAAGTTGGGTAGAGATTAGAAAAATCTTAATTTTACTTCGAAGTTGGAAATGTTCAAAAGTTTGACAAAACATATTTCTTCTTCCGTCTCGTAACTCATACACGAACTTTACAACGTCACATTTACAATATTGTTTACTTTGTATATAGACTAACTTGTTTATGTTCATTTAAATGAGTAATAATAATTTGACCTTTTCTGTGGAAGATGGCGCCACTACGTCCTTTCCACATATCGTGGTGTGAAAATTGTCTATAGACAGATATATCTATAGACAATTGTGTGAGTATTACAACTAGGTAACTACAAATTTGGCCAAATATGGATAACTGCAAAGAAAAATTCTATTAGAGGTGCACAACATACTACAATTAGGTTAACTGTTGCAGATAATTCACAGGTGCTAGTTAGAATTTTCAAAACTAGATACCTAAGGTAATCATCAGAGAAAAAATCCATTCTAGACAAGTTCACATAACTAGTTGTGTAATTTATTGATTTGTTTGCTGTTTTTATGGAATTTGTTATTGGTTTTTTGTAAAATGAGAACATTTTTGCAGTGCTTCATTGTCAATACAATAATAGATCGCAAATAAACAATTTGTTTACAAGCCTGATTTCCTTAATTTAATATAAAACAAACAAAAACATTTTTTTAAATATCATATTTGAACATTTGGTATCTAAATCAACATCAAGAATATTTTTAATAGTACTAAAACTTGGTTAGTGGTAGTAAGTAGTGAAATGACATTTAATCAAGTTTTCACAGAAAATCGTGCATAAACATTAATTTGACTTTTCCCCGAAACAGGTGATTTATAGTTCCCTAGTTGTAGTATTTACCCCACGATATACATTTAAATCCATTTTTGCATAGGTATTTCATAACCTTAACAGTGGTAAAGAAAATTTGTCGCTTTTTCAGTAAGTAAACTAGTCTCGTTACTCTCCAGTATCATGCAATAGTTGAGTCTTAATGACATGATACGATTCTAGTGGATAATTGAAAATTTCTGAAAGAAATATCAATTATAACAATCATCTACAGCATTATTATTTAATAACTCCTATATATTGTCGAATGCAACACCTAGCTTATTTCTCCTCTACTGTAACATAGGCAACTTGTAATGCAGTCAACTTCAATATTCAAATAGGTGTGTATTACAAAAGAAAAGCCTAATATTCAAATTTATGAGCCATAATTGTTATTCGCAAATTAATAAAACAAAATTACTGAACAGTTCAACAATTAATTTTTGGAAATGAAAAAAAATATAGATTTCAGTCGATACATGTTGCGCACGTAAACTTAGTCACGATAACTATAAATATACTGATTCGCTCTCATGTAAGTGGGAAGGTAACTGTCTCTCAGGATAACCACTTGAGTTAAGTTGAATAAAACTGAATCAATTAAAATGGATGTAATAAGACCCAAAAAGCTTGTTTCCACCTGTAGGGGCTGCTTTGACCTTCCTTTTGCTCTTTTTGAACTTTTAAACTGAACATAACACTTTTGCCGTATGTGCTGTAGTGTTATGAAAAAGATTATACGAGTTTTTTCTTTGAAGGAATAATTGAGGAACTGTGTAATAAATTATAACCTCAAAATTGCTAATGAACTTCAAAAATGTCATCAATGGAAAACAAGTTAGTGAGAAAAAATAATAGAACATCTTTTGTTCCTGTATCAGGTAAGAGGACCAGAACACTTTTGTCGTTCAGAAAGGGTTATTTGAAAATTGGGATTCTTATTTTTTCTCTGAATGGGTTGAAAATATCCAAAATTTTCATAGAACAGACTGTGTCCAACTTAATGAGTCTCATGAAAAATGAGATTAAACATTGTGTAACAAATTGCCTCACAATTATGATTCGACTTGAGAATTTCGTCAACGAAAGATACATTTTGAATAAAATAGATCTGCTGTAAGTGTCGTTTCTACAGAATAAGATGGCTTTTTCTACCATGACTAGGATTGTGTGGTGCCATCTACCAGTCACTAGATTAAAAGAAAAATTTACCGCGAACATCAGAACTTTTCCCTGAAAATTATTTCATTAAGCAATGAAAAAGTGCAGATGGAGCTGCTATTACATTAAACTAAGAAAAAAAACAAGAATCTTCCATTTTCTAAAGGATTAATTTGATTTCATTTTCAATAATACCTTACTAACATTTCCATTGTGGCGAAAATATGATTTATTGAAATAATAAATAATCAAGGTTTATATCCCGAGTGCACAAGTTTGATCCGTTTTAATATGTATAAAAAATCCATGTTTGCTGTTACATGAGGTGAATTATCATTTTTCTTAAAAAATATTTATTTATTCATCAATTTCAAATTTGTCCCCATCAAATTAGTCTTCCTCAGACACACTTGTGCCTAAATCGTCACAAAAAGCCGCCCAGTTATGGGTCATTTGAATATCAAAAACAAAAAAAATCACAAGGGAGCAAATCTGGTGAATACGGTGTCTGAAGCATGATTACGATGTTATTTTTGGACAGAAAATTAAGAACAGGTAATAACGAGTAACGGTAAGAAAAGAGTAAGCAAAACTTGAACATTTGATCGAACTTGGCATGTTTTTTTGGTCTTGACTCTCCTGGGCTCTTTCATTGGAACGATTGGTTTCGATGACATAACCATATACCCATGATTCGTCACCAGTTATGACCCTTTTGAGCAAATCTGGTTTGCCGTTGACGTCATTCAACAGTTTTTGAGCGTTGCTCATGCGAAGTTTTTTTTTGGTCAAGATTTAGCAATTTTGGAACGAGCTCCGCTGCCACACGCTTCATGCCGCCCAAAATTGCCGAAAAAATTGCATAGCATGAGCCAACCAATATGTCGACATAGTGATTAGACATTTTCAGTGTTTTTAATATACTTCATATTGTGGGGAACTATATAATAATAGTAATAATATCGTTTATTATACATAAAAAATACATTTATACATATAAGGAAAAGGGTTAGCCAAAGGCTCCCACCCCTCCCAAAAATGTTACAGTGAGTGTAAGAAAATGATATAAAAATACTTATTACTATCATAAATCATAACAATGATAGAGAAGAGAAAAAAATTATAGATTATACAGTTGCTAATAACTGTTGATATTCTTAACATTATTTTGGTTAATTTAACAATTTCATTGCATTACCATACATTGAATTTTAAGTTAGCACTGAGCAGTAAGAATCTGTGATTTTCTTTCTTTCTTGAATTGATGAATATTATGATTTAAAAGGAGTAAAATTTCATTCAGATAAGAAGGGGCTATATAAGAAAAACATCCTTGAAATTTGGAAATACGGTGCTTAGGTATGTTGAATGAGTTAATTCTCAAATTGACCATATGTATGTCAGAATGCCTGCTTAATAAAATCAATAAATAACTAGGTGTTTTAGTGTGAAGCAACTTAAACAAAAAAAAAATTATCAAATATTGGACTCTGTACCCTCACATTTAGCTCCTTCAGTTTTAACAAAAATGGTGTGACATTTCCACCATATGGTATACCTACAGCATACGAATCGCATGCAAGCATTTTGTATACGTTGTAACTTCTGCTTGTTATATTGCGGCAAAAAATTGTAATACACCGAACAACAACAATACTCGATATGGGGGTAAATGAGAGTTTTAACTAACCTGAGTTTCATTTCTTTTGATAACATATACTTGAATTTGTATAGCGATTCGAGTTTGAAGAATGATAGTTTGAAAATGTTTGTTACATGCTCATGGAAAGACAAAGAGCTATCTATGGTTACGCCAAGATTTTTAGCACTGTCTATCCAGTCAATGTCTGTGTTATCGAGAGTGAGTCTAAAGTTACAATGAGTTTCTACTATTTGTGTTTGAGATCCTATGCATTAGGCCAAAGTTTTATTTGGATTGATTTTCAGTCCATTATTCTCCGAGTATAGGAATGTTTTGTGCAAATCTGTGTTTATATTGGCCACGCAACTTTCTGTATCGGTGTTATGAGAAGACAACTATAACTTTATATCATCTGCTTTTAGATGTACTTGACAATATCATCGAAACAAGTGTGGAGAATTGTGGGCTCTTCTTTGATTTGCAGTTTGCAAAAATCTTGATGTTACAAATGTTGCGCGTTTTGTGGTATTTGTGTGATTTGAAGTAGATGAAAATATCATACATTTTATAATGCAAAGCCCTTGCGAGATTGTATCGTTATTTGTAGCTATATATGGCGCTAAAAGTAACATTGGCAGAATAAGCTGATCCGTTGCGAGATCGAAACCAATAATACCAAATGCCTCATGCCTTTGTATAGCAAAATTTCATTTTCTGATTTGAATAAGGTGCTAAAACAGAAAATCAAAACAGTAAACGCTTCTAAAGGTGAAGTTTTGCGGACTCGCATCCATCAAAGTCTTTTGTTTTATACAGAGGCCAAGAACCTATCCAAAGGGTAGGTATTGATAAGAGTTCTTGAACTTGCAGATGAATTATTAATGTTCCTACAACGAATTATTTTTGTGACCCTGTTTGCTGTCAGCTATTTTCGCTGATTTTGGCTGCCTTCTGAATGTTATGAAAAGAGCCTCCAAGGAAAAAATTGACCTCCTAACTACTGATGTTATATTCAAAGGTTTCCCTGAGAAACTTTTTTCATGGTCAAGATCTTAACAAAAATTATTCACGAATCGTTCGTTGGCGTTCAACAGATTTTTGTAACTATAACAGACCTATCGATACAAAGTTTGCATGTTTTGGAAGGAAAATCGACTTCCTTTTCGAGACTGGATTCAGAAGCTTACAATAAGCGTAGATTTATGTTTTAGGATTAGTTTGTTAGTTTTTTGAGTTATAGGTTATATTATAATATCCAAAATAGCAAGGCTTGAGTGATAGAACTCCCTCGGGTGAACTTTCCCTTGGGATTTCTGAATTCATAAGGAGAATACTATGTACCGTTTTGTCCACTACATTCGGAAGGGCCCGCCAGTAGTATCAACCAACGACCACTCCCCACACCTTGGGTTAAGTGATCACTGGGTCCGAGAATCATGTGCCCTGAGCAAGCGCCGCTTGAATGAGCCTGAGGGTGGGAAACGAATAGTTCCAATAAATTCGGCACTTCTCGTTCAATATCCCGCGGAGCATAGGACAACACCCGTGTCTCGTCAATAACATAAGAGTGCCGTAGATGGTAATATATATAGCACTCTTAGGGCCGCGTTATGTCGATGGATATAGGCCGAGACCGCTTACATGCTGATAGCAAGTGCATTAGGGTATCGAGCGCCTCGCGGCAGGCCCTACACCTTGTGTCAGGAACCCACTGCGGTAGACTTAGGTGTTGAAGATACCATTCTGGAAAGTCATGATGAACCCCTCAGTTTCCGACTTCAGCCTACTCGACTTGAGGAAAACGAAAGCCATGTGCTTTGATAAGTCAAGGTCTCCAATGTTATTGAAGAAGACCCCATGCAAAGGCTTATCCTTGTGTTTCCGCAGAAGTGAGGTGATCTCTGCGGCTTTTATATGAGCTTTTTGCTGAACGGGTTCCAACTCGTTGACAGAGTTGTGGTCACCTCGTTCAGTGTCGAAAATTAAACCGAGTTCATCAGCTGCTTGGACAGCTGCCCTAAAGAAAAAATGCTCCAATTCCTGCTGAGAAGGGGAAGAGAAAAAAAAGACAATATTATTATTATTATTCTGTTTGAAAAAATCTGTTTAAATCTGTTTTTCCGTTAATCAGTTGTCACCAACATACGAACGACAACTTTCAGAAGTTGAGAAACTTATGCGAGCTAAGAACTGACGAGGTCTTACCTTTTAACATGTGACTCCTAACACGAATGATATTTTTCCATTGTAGTGTAGGACCTATAAACACTTGCTTTTTTACTCATGGCATGACTGTAAACCATTCAAACTCGAATGAAACAAGTTTTGGTTGGTTTCCACGTTTTGCCGTTGTCTTCTTCGGGAACAATCTCCAGACATTTCAACTGCCACTACAGCAGTCATCTTCAGTGGCACGGTCTTCTTGATACGTCAAGAAGACACCACGCCACTGAAGATGACTGGCGCAGTTGCAGTTGAAACGTCTGGAGATTGTAACCAAAGAAGACCAAGGCAAAACCCGGAACCTAACCAAAACATTGACGCCAGGTGTGAAAATCTACGTTCTTATTTCAAATGAAATGATCGCACAGCTCCAATTTTTCAGGTACCATTCGCCAATAGTTGAATGGTTTTTGGAAGCAGTTCAAGAAATGGGCTATGCAGTTCGTGATGTGAACGGAGAATATCAAACCGGCTTCACGTTATCCCATGGCACTCTTAGAGAAGGGCTACGTTGCAGTACCGCTAAGGGATTCATAAGACCGGTTGCGAAAAGACCAAATTTGCATGTCAGTCTTCATTCACTGGTAAGACAAAAATTGACTGTATCATCTAGATCTCATTATTTTGGAGAATACCATAACATCAATGAAGTCAGTTTTATAAATCTTAAAACTGGAAAAACAATAGTCATCAGCACAAGTCAAAAAATGATTTTTGTCATAACTTGGGTAATTTATATCACTGTAATTTACGTAGAGATCTCTGAGTTTTCTAAACATGAAATAGAGTAAATTTTACTCGCTGATGATTTAACTTTCAGAAGGTGAAATAATTTTTAAAATCTGGTAAGTAGTTTTTGATTGCTTCTTTACAAACGAATATGATAAAACAAATCTTTTATATCTGACCGGGATATTATAAACTTATATCGTCATAGTTACGCTATCAATAAAGAGGGTCATAACTCCCTTGGGACATTATACCTTTCACAAGTAAAAATAAATAGAAATGAAAACTGAACCATATTTTATTTTTTATTGAAATCGGTCAGAAATAAAATTATCTATGTACCACGGGAATTAATGAGCCTTAATAACCTCAGGCAATTGCTGTCCCTCGGGCCAGAGGCCCTCGGGACGCAAACTTTGCCATCAGTAAATAAGAACCTCCTAATTCCCTTGATACATAAATAACTATTTCTGAATATTACTGGAGTTTTTTCCCAACACCTGAACTGTCAGGAATACGTGCTTGTTGTGCTGTACGTGCTTGTTTCTTTTCTAAATATATCGTATTCTAACCCTCCATATTGGCTCCTCATTAACAAAACGTCAAGAAATGGTAGTTGTCCCTTATTTTCTAACTCATACGTGAAATTTATTGATGGACATCTGTTATTTGAAATGGAAACAAAGTCGTCAATATTTGCTTTTTTGGTATCCAATATCGCAAAAATATTATCCACATACCTTAGCCAAATCCTAGGAAAATACTTCCAATTTTTTTTTGGTTTCCATTTCGAATCTGCTCATGAACAGGTCTGCCAGGTAGGGGGACAAGGGGTTTCCTATGGACGTTCCTTACTGTTATTCATAAAAGCAACCTTCTACCTGGAACCGATTTTGTTTCATACACAAATTAGTAATAGAAACGAATTATTGAAATTATTGTTCTTTAGTAATTCCCTGAAGTATTGCAAGGTCTGTGGAATTGGGACGCTAGGAAATAAGGAACTAACATCAAAAGAAACCAAAATCTCACCTCCATGCAGAACCACGTTTTTTGTATGGTGTATGAACTCTAAAGAGTTTTTTATACTAAAACTTGGTTCAGTAATAGACAAGGTTTCAAATTCCTTAGTGAGCCACTTTGCTATTTGGTAGGTAGGAGCTCCAATAGCTGACACGATAGGGCGCATTGATTTTCCCGGTTTGTGTATTTTTGGGAGGCAATATAGTTTCGACGCCGTTGGGTTGGAAACTTGTAACTTCCGTTTCAGTTAAGGGGTAAGTATGTTGTCGTATTTCTTGAGGACGTCTTTTACTTTGGCAATCATCTTTGGTAACGGGTTTCTGGACAATTTCGCATACGGTCCGTTAGTAATGAGAGTATTGACCCTTTCGTAGTAGTCCGATTTATCCAGAATTACTACTTTGTTACCTTTGTCGACTTTCAAATAAAAAACGTCCTTTTCTCTCAATCGTTTGATAAGTTTCTTTCGGTTTTTATTGTTGTTTATTGAATGCCTCCGTTTATCTGTTATCTTGTTCTTGAAGATTTGATTCCTGACCTTTTCTCGAACTAGTCCCTTCAATGAATCGGGCATATATTGAATCGAACTTTCAACACTAGCAACGATATCCTCAAGAACTTTCTCGGAAGGCGGGATGCCAAATTCCAAACCGTTGTTCAAAAGGTTGATCTCTTCCATACCACCAATATAAGAGGAATTTTGGAAAGATTCTCAAGGAACTAGGTATGAAGGTGGTTTTTAAAACAAGTCATACACTACAGAGCCTTTAGGGAAATCCAAAAGACAAAGTCGAGAATTCGAAAAAGTCTGGAATTTACGAAATTGAATGTAAGGACTGCGATGTAAAATATGATGGGCAGACAAAAAGATCTATTAAAGTAAGATATAAGAAACACATAGCACACTTAAAATATGAAAGACCTGAAAAATCAGCAGTCGCCCATCATATTTTGCAACAAAACCATTCCATAGACTTCAGTTCATTAAGATTAGTTAGACAAGTTAACAACAACAGGCAACTAGATGCCTATGAGAGTGTAGAAATAAGTAAACACAATANATATTAGACAATGGAAGTCCGAACTGATGAAATACAACACGAAACATTGTCAACCACCTTCAAACAAACACTTGAAGTGTCTTTGTTCTATCTCCATTAATTTATGAGTTATTTTAATAACAATGATTGAAAACCATGAGGAATTGCAAATTTTTATTTTTTTAATTAGCAAAAAACCTCTGAAGACGTAAAACACTTTTAACTTTAATGCCTTTCTCCAACAAAATAAACATGCTAAACCGTGAACATATCTTCGAGACGAGTGTACCAACATAAAAAAAATAAAAATATCGCTAATTAAAAGTATGTAGTCTGCGAAATTTGAACATTCTCCTATTTTTTTGAACAGTCCACTATATAGCTTATTAAAAACGAAGTGACATTTTGTCAAAAATGATTGATATTAGTCGATTTCTTTTACATTGATTATTATTGCGAATGTGCTTTTTTAAAAATAAAAAATTTCAGGTAGAAAAAATTTTGGTGAACAAGGACACAAAACAAGCTTACGGAGTCGTTTTCAACAAGTTTGGGACTCGAAAAACTGTGTACTCGGACAGAGAAGTGATCCTCAGTGCTGGTTCTTTGGCAAGTCCTCAGCTTCTGATGTTGTCTGGAATAGGGCCTCGAGATCATTTGGAAGATATCGGCATTGACGTTTTGTTAGATTCTCCTGGAGTGGGATTTAATCTACAGGTGGGTGTTTTTTATTTAATATGAAAATACGAGTAATTTGATGAATCAATACGTTCATTGAAAAACATTAAAAGGTATGAAAACTCAAAATTATCAATGTTGAATGAAGAATACCAAAATATTAGTGATCCACAGTTCTCTCACTGCCACCTACGATTTTGAGGAATGATCTTTGACAGCCCTCTACGACTCTGAGATATGTAATTTGAACTGGTAGACCAGGATTTCGAGGAGGACACACGGAAATACACACATCGGAAAAGTCTAGGGATATTTTTATAACATACTAAATAACATTCACACAACGTTTCAATTGATAGAGCTTTTAATCGCTGAATGGGCAAATGTACCTCAACAAGACATTGACAATCTCATTTTGTCGATGCACGATAGATGTAGGGCCGTAATAAACCAGCGTGGAGGCCATACTTTGTACTGATTCCAATTTTTTTTCTATTATGATTTTTTTTCGGGGTGCCCAAGAAGAGCCATATTTTTTTTTTAGTTTTGCTTATATGCGCACTCAGTATTTTTGACCATTTAATAAATTTTGTTGTAAGTTACATTCCTTTGATAATCACCCGTCAACTTTTTTTTCCTTAAAGCGATCTAAAAAAATATATTGCCATTTTTAAAAATATCCCTAGACTTTTTCGATGTGTGTATGTCACGTGGAGTCCAATGACTAATGAATTGGGACCAAAATACGGAAGATAATTCGTGTATTATAATCATTACCATTTTCAAGATTGTTATACCTTACCTATTCTCCAGAGAATATTACCTCATAACATAACGGTGTTCTTTACAAAGTAACTAGTCGTAACCAATAATAAATTCATTTCAATTCAGAAACTTTGTATAGAGCAGAGGTTCTCAAACTCATTTTGTCTACCGCCCACTTCGAGAATCAATCATTTCGCAGACATTATTTTAATAATTAAATTATGTGTCACATGTGAAAATAAGACTTTCTGGTGAGGGTAATGTACAACACCATTTTGTGATTCTAGGAAAACCTAAATTCATATTATTAAAACAAACATTTCAATCTTAATTTTAAAACTAATCTAATGTGAAGAATGAATTTGATTATTTTTAACAAGTTTGTTAATATCAGGCTCGAATCTATTCAAAAAAAGCCGTAAGTCACCGCGTTCGGTAACCTGCAACCGATTTCCCTTTTTAGTTAGCAACGTTGCCACAGCACCAAATCTACGTTCACACAAATATGATGATGGGAATGCTATAAAAATCCTTGAACGATGGACCACAATCCAGGTTACAATTGCGGGATTGGCTTCTGAACCCAAAATTCTTGGTATCCATTTTTCAATTTTATTTTTATTTCCTCGTTCATTATCAGTTTTATGAATTCTTCCTCCACCTGGGGTGATTCTGCTGTGTTGACATTTGAAAAAGGATCCAGTACCCAGTTCGGTATTTCCAATTTTAAAATGTCCTGGAATCGTTCTGCGAAATCACTGTGGAGGTTCTCCAAGTATTGGCAGGGAACAAGCAATTCGTCGTTGTTGAAAGATACTGCTGACAAATTAGGGAAATTGCGAAACTCACGTCTGCCGATATTATTGTATAAGAGCAATTTGGCTACAAAAGCAGCAATGACATTTTTTGTTTTAATCAAATTCAAGTCGTCACCTTGAAGGTGGAGATTGACATCATTAAATAATTTATACAGGCCTGTCAAGTACGCAATTTCATTCTTTGAATTGATGGGGATGTTGTGCAATTCTTAGTCTTCATTTCCAAAAACTCTATTCCAGAGTCAAATAGATTGTAAAATCGAGTCAGACAGTTACCTCTTGATAACCAACGCACTTCTGTGTGAAATAGCAATCGGTTGAAATCTTCATCATTAGCAACACAAAGCTGACTAAATAATCTGTCATTTAAAGAGCTGTTTCGAAGTTTATTGACTCCTTTGATGATATATTGTAGTATTTGAGAGAGGCGCTGACTCAAATTTTTCGCAACCAAATGTTGCCTATGAATGACGCAATGAACAAGGTGCAGCATATCTGGAATTTTATTTTTTGATTTCGCTATGAAGCCTTTGTGATGTCCTGTCATAACCGGAGCGCCATCCGTAGCAGCTGATATAATATTCTTCAGTGGAATTTCTTTCTCATCACAAAATTTTTCCAGTGTTTTATATATGGTTTTTCCTTTTGTATCCGTCCCTAATTTTCTGGCAAATAGTATTTCGTGATTTTCTCATTTTGAATAAACCCCACGTATGGCTACAACAATGCTTCATTGGTTGGTAAAGTGGACTCATCTAACTGAATTGAGAATTTAGAAGTCTTCAGATGATTGCACAATGACTCTTCAATGTATTCAGCCATCTCATCAATTCGTCTTTGCACGGAACTATTGCTTAAAAGAAATTTTTCAGATAATATCTGCCGCTGGTTTATGGGACACAGTAGTTATTACTTCTCTTATTGCCGGTAAAATTAAATCATCTCCAATAGTGTGAGGTTTATCTGTTCGAGCAATCAGCAAGGAGAAATTGTAGGAAGCTCGGAGTCCGCTTAGTCGTCTTGCTTAGAAGCTGCTGAAAAAAGTTTCGACACAGTTGGCTGAGCTGAGTGTTTTTTTTCCAGTTCTCGAAAATAAGTTACACTTTCGTCTTTTTTATCTGAATGCGTTTTATTCAAATGATCTTGTAGCCTTGAGGGTTTCATCGCTTCATTCAAACATGTTTTTTGACAAAGAAGACACAAAGGCAAAGATGGATTTGTGTCATTTTCAATAAATCCATATTTTATATATTCCGCGCTATACTGCTGTTTCTTCTTTTTTGCTTCCGACATAATTTTGACTTCAAAAATGCCGAAGTAAAGAATCGAGTAATAAAAACTTGCTAATGACACCACTTACAGTATTCACCACCGCATGTACAGCACTTTACCTAGCTAGTCGCTAACTAAATTCACTTGTTTTCGTAATATCGTTGAATAACATTACTGACTGGATGTCTTTCGCGCTTTTATATAAGGCAGCGGGCGGGCCTAGCCTTTCGAGAATGGAGACTAGAGACTTCTCGCTTCGCATTGAAGGTTACTAGCTTACCGCCATCTATTGTACAGTTTGACAACTATCAGTAAGTTACGTCCCATGAAAGTTTCATAACACTCGAAGAAGAATGGGAAAAACATAAGATTTACAAACAACATGGATTGAGATCCGATATGTGCTCTATCCTTTCTAGCATTTCGTAACAGATCATGGCCTAAGAACAGCTTTCAAAAGCTATTGTCTTCATCATTGGCTGCAGAATAGCTGTAGAAGACATGGGTCTTCTACAAATTGTTTGGCCTATCATACACACTACATATTGTAACGAATTTGAAGCCGGTCCTGACCGATATCTCAGCCAGCGAATAAACAATGACTCACCGCGAAAGGAATGCACTCGACGAACCACCGCGAAAGGTTCGTTGCCGATATAAAAAAGGCCGCTTCCCGTCCCGAGCGGTAGTCTGTATCTAGAGAGTGAATCGTGCGTTTTAATAAAGAATTCGAACTGTGAAGATAAATTACGCCTTAGTTGTATAAGTATTGTATATAAATTAGTTGTGATAGTGAAGTATTGTTAAAAATAAATTCGTTCAAGACAGTTAATTCTTTAATTCGTTACAATATATTTCCTGATAACTGAAAAACACCATTTTCACCCTTGTTGAGAGCCGTTGCGAGCAGTACTGTCGCAAGATGATGGATGGTAGATGGTAGATGCTGTTACGTTGTTCAACGGGGGTGGAAGAGAAATTTGGTTTTGGAATGAAAGTTAAACCCCCCTTCGGTATATTCCAAAACCGTATTGGTAATAAAAATATTTTTTTCGGTCACTGAAAAGTTTACTCAAATGACCACTCGGCTAGCTCAGCAATTTGGGGGTGAGTATGGAGAATAAATCCACCAAAAGGTGCTGTTCTTGATATTTTACAAAAACTTTATTGAATCTTTAACAGGTTTCAAATAATATACAATGACAAATATCAAGAGAGAATATGCAGTGTTTGTATCAACCCAAAGTGGTTTTGAGGGGTATTTCTCAAAGCAGATTAATGTATATATACATNAGGCCTGCTAGCAACTTTAAAATCGATTTCTGCAACATCAGAGGATTCAACTCAATATACCACCAACAAATAGTCCTCATATCCTTGCACTCGCAGAAAGCAAAGTCAGTGATTCAATATGTAACGCTTATGTATCGCAGTAACTCTTTGGGGCAAACTTGTATATTCTTTATCGAATGGGTTTTGTTTATTTTTCAGATTGTGGAAATTCAAATATCCAAAAATAGCAAGAAACTTTTTAAATACTTTCATTTGGAGAATGGAATATAGTTTTTTACGATTTTTAAAATTGAAATGAAATAAATATATATCGTTACTTTTGCAAAGACACAGCTCTTACAGCGGTTTAGAAGATTTATCCCGCACTGCTTGGGTATTTCCATAAAAAGTACTGGAATATTCGACTATTTAGAAGTGAAATGAAGTAGTTTGATTTCTATCATCAATGCAATTGTCTAAAAATTGTACAAAATAGAAAAACTTACGAACTATCTTCTTGGCATCACCGGACATGCAAATTTTGTAAGAAAACTCCTCGCTGAAGTTTTCTGGTTCATACCTGAAACAAAAAAGAACTTGATGAAATAATTACGCAAAAAACGACACCAAAATAATATACAATGTGGACGTGAATAGTGCTCTCCCTCTCTTAACTTCTGAACGAGTCAAGATATAATGACAAAGTCAATCTTGTGACCTTATTCTCCGCAGAGAGGGCGCTAATTGTTTAATTTTTCATCTAGAAAGGGGGTATTGTGACCTTCGCTCGAAATGTATTTCAATTCTCTATACAAAGACCTTCACTGTTTTGAATTTGGATAACCGGTTGCGGAGTTTTTGGTGAAGTAATTGAAGACTAGGAAAAGTGATAATTCGTACCTGCTACCAAAAAAGTATCACATCAGGTTACATAAAGTTTGTAATGTGTAAAAACGGTTTTCCACCAAACATACACAAAAAATAACAACTGTGTTGATTTCCACAAAACAAAAACTCGAGTTGTCAAAATATGAAACATTTTGAAGACTTTGTGTCGCGAGCCACTGTTTTTGTCAATAACGAAACGTCCCGCTGGCAGGTGGAAATATTTCGGTGTTTTGTCTGTGGTGTTGTGAATAGAGTTCTCTATATAAAAACTTGGGGGTGATGCTTGACTCTGATCTTAGATTCACTAGTCATGTTGAAAATTTTACGAAAAAAACTCATAGGTCATTGAAACTGTTATACCGTAATCGTTTTATTTTGAGCCAACCTCTAAAAATAATGCTCTGTGATAGTTTGGTGCCAATCCATTTCAATCACTGTGACTTCATACAGTGTGACCCATTTTTAATGGAAACACCCCCCTAA